CTGTTGCTGCTGCTGTTGTTGATACTCTGCTGCTGTTCTCATAGGTATCTCTTTAGCTGCTCCTGCTGCTGCTATTCTGTTGCCGCAGCAGCAGCAAGTGCTCAGTCTGCTGCTGCTGTTATACTCCCAACGGCTGCTGCTGCTGCTGCTGCTGCTGCTGCTGAGGCGCTGCGGGGCCAAGTCGTCGTGCAGAGAAAGTCTGTATTCTGTTTCTGTGTCTTCTCTTGTTGCCATCGAAAGTGGAGACAAAAAAACTTCCCACTTCGAAGACCCTTCGATCGGCTCAAACACCTGCAGAGAATGCAAAAACGCAACCCCTGCAGCAGCAGCAGCAGCAGCAGCAGCAGCGGGTGGGGAGCAGCAGCAGCAGGTGCGGAGCAGCAGCAGCAGGTTCCGAGCAGCAACACCACCACCACCAGGCTTGAAGCACCAGCAGCAGCAGCAGGTAAGGAGCAGCAGCAGCAGCAGGTACAGAGCAGCAGCAGCAGCACGTTTGGAGCAGTAGCAGTAGCAGCAGCAGATAAAGCTGGGGGCGAAGCCACGGTTTCGGTGCAGATGCGGTTACTTCACAGCAGCAGCAGCAGCAGCAGCAGCCGTTGGGAGTATAACAGCAGCAGCAGACTGAGCACTTGCTGCTGCTGCGGCAACAGAATAGCAGCAGCAGGAGCAGCTAAAGAGATACCTATGAGAACAGCAGCAGAGTATCAACAACAGCAGCAGCAACAGCCGCAACAGCAGCAGCAGCAGCAGCAGCAGCAGCGAAATGGACCTGGAATTAAATCAAGCGCAGCATTGCTGATGTTTAAAAACGCCGATGTCGTTGAGTACTTCTGGATACGCACAATTGATGCTGCAGCAGCAGCAGCATCAGCAGCAACAGCAGCAGCAGGTGTGAAGCAGCAGCAGCAGCAGCGGGGCATGTAGAGAAGCTGCGGCAGCTTCTACCAGCTAACGCAGCAGCAGCAGCATCAGAAACAGCAGCAGCAGCAGCAGCAGCAGCAGACCTGCAACAGTGGCAACAACGTAGACGAAGACAGCAGCAAAAAGGCCAAGAGTGATAATTGAGTGGACAAGACTTGTGGGGGGTTTGTGCATGGGCACCCCACTTTCCTCAGTTGCTGCAGCAAACAAATAATAATAAATAAATAAACAAATAAATAAATAAATAAATAAATAAATAAATAAATGATGAGAAGAAAACAAATTAATTACTAATTAGAGAAATGGAGAAAAAAGCGGAAACTTAGCGAACAAATGAAGGAAAATGGAGTGTAGCAAGGTATTTTGCTAAACGCTGATTTAGGGTTTAGCAGCAAGCAAGTCCTCCTGGCGAGTTAACCCTAAGTTAGTGTTTTGCAGCTGGGGGGTTTGTGCATGGGCACCCCACTTTCCTCAGTTGCTGCAGCAAA